GTTGCAAGTTGCTCTAATTTAGTGAAGGTCATATTTAAATTTAGACATGTCCCCAGCCATTAAAACCTGGGTAATGCTACACTGTTTCCACTGGGGAATGCTGTGGTGAAAACTACATTAGTATACCCAAGGCATGCGCTGACAGCAACACACCTCTCAAAACGTCCTATTTAGACATGCTGTTCCATGTGCTGTTGAGAGTTATGCAGGGCATCTCAGGATGAGGTAAATAACCAAAAAATGTACTCTGGGTTATCCTAACCCCTTTATTTGTTCGCCTTTCTTAAAAGCATGATCTTTTTCACTTCCATAACTCGACACCCAAGAAAGAACAAATTACTTTGTTAACAAATGGAAATGAGACAAGAGCAAAAGCTTTCTCCCTCTGTCATCTAGCTAGAGAGGAACAAGTTGGGTTTACATAACATTTTAACATGCCAGTCTTTTGGACCATATTACAGAATTTGATCACAAAAACTTGTGTGTTTGTATGTCTTCTTATGTGTCATAGAAGATTTAAGATACATAACACTTGACTTCAAGGGTGTCTATGCATATGTTTATGCCACGTGTTATGATTCCAGAAGCACAGCATGGAGCTCCTGACAAGCTAATTTAAAGTCAGCAGTAGGACAGGTTAGTCTTTGCAGATTGACTAAGTGCTGCCTAATACCAGGGGTGATGGCAGAGTTGGTGGTGGAGAGGAGCTCTGCCCTAAGGAGTGGCTAAGCTAACACCAGCCCCGGACTTCTCAGCATTCTTACTGTGAGGCAGAGTGATTCTCTTTCATAAAGTGTGTTGGAGATCTGCTGGTAAAAACTGGGCACACTTAAAATAGTAATTGTGGTACACATGTTTAATAAAAAATATTGGAATTCATAAAAGACAGTGCAGTAGTAGTGCAAATATTGTTGTGGCTGCTGGCCATATCTGATGTCCATGTGGAAAAGTTCAAAGTTATTTGACTCACCTTAGTAACTGGAGTTTTATGGCATCTTTAATCCAAATTTAGGGACACAAAACCCGAGTGCCTTTTGGAGGAAGGGAAAATTTTAGGGAGGGACAGGCATTTGAGCTGAAAAAAACCCCCACCTTTGCTGCTGTAAGTACAAGCCTGTCCTTAGTCTTTGTTGGTTTGTTTAAAAATTGAGGCAAGCCTAGGAAGGGGATGAAAGCTCAGACAGAGCCCTGTTGTGTGTGCTGTGAGGGGGGAAAATGGCATGTGGATTCTGCCTACTGTCATCTATGCTTCAGCAAGAGTCAGGGAGACACATATGTTGAGGGGAAAAAAGGATTTTTCTCAAAGTGTAGTACTCGCAATAATTTCACCTTTGCAAGACTCAAACGTGTTTGGTTCCTGTACAAAGGCAGCATGTTTGAAGAGGTTTTGAGAATATTAACTTGGAGGTGTTCAATGGAAGAGCATAACACGGGCCATATAAAAGATTAAAACCCAGATGAACTCCTTTCCAGGAGGCATGCCTTAATGTGTTGGAGGAAGGTATGTGGAATGGAAAGTTCCAGGCAGTATTTGTGTATGAAAATAATCTGAATGATTTGGGTTTTGTTTTTGCTGCGTGTGTAAAAGGAGCGGGAGGATATTGCTTTTACATCATGTTTGAAGTCAAAGTGTTCCAGCAACTTTATCACTATTTATTATAAAAAAACAGTATAACACAAGTCCAGACTGGTGTAGAAACTGAAGAAATACTCATAGTGGGACAAAATTCCCCTTTCAGTAATGATTGCAGCACAGCAAAGTACAAGTTCAATCTGTGGGAAATGTTAGTGTGTTTGGTTGGGTTTATTTTTGGTCTGAAGCCATGACTTTCAAAAGAACTTGGTGAGAAGGTGTAAAGCATAATAATGCTTCCTTGTTTATTTTTAAAGTTTATTTAGCCACTGATTGATTTGCAAAGGTCAGGTCCTTTGCCAAAATTTAGATCAGTCAGGAACATATATGTTCTAAAATTCAAGGTGCAGATCTTGCTTTATTTTTTTTTCACCTGAATTGAGGAGCATAATTTATGATTAGTGCTGACATTTATTTCAGTGTCATGCAGTTGTTTTGGTATGTCAGTTTACAGCTCTGGTTTAAAAAAGCTTTGCTAAGTCCATTCTTACTCTTTCTTTTTCTACTATAGGTCTGTTTTCACATATAATTGAAAACTGTGCTGGTGCTTTTCACTTGTTAGGTGCCAGAAGTTTTTATTTTGTGTGAAATTAGCCAACAGTGCAGTTTAGAACCTGTGATTTCTTTGTAAATAATTGATGGTCTAAAAAAAAAATGGAAGTGGTGTCCTTGATTATGCAGCTCAAAAAACCCTGCTTATTTATCAGTTCATCCATTGAGCTGTGAAAAGCTTTTCCTTTTTTTGTTTGCGTTTGATTTCTATTACAAAGTGACAGCACTTGTTTTTAAACATCAATGAGTTGACTTGTATATTATGCTTTTAGTTATATAGACGTAAAAGTTTTATTTATGTAAAGTTGCATTAGTAGTTTTGTTCATGGGAAGAAGCACTTGACAATTCTGTGACTTTTGTTTGATATTCATATGGCAATTGGGTGGTTTTACAAGATCCTTGGTAAACCAGTATTACTGAAAGCGCTGAATATTTTCAGTTTTATTGCAAGTCAAAGCAAAGTTACTTAGTTAATATGTTTGCTGCTTTGTCTTTCAGCAAGAAAAATCTGTGATATTGACAGACATTGAGGAAATATGGTTTTGATCACATGTCCTAAATAAGGAGCTGAGAGACTGAACTATAGCTCTGAATTGGTGCCATTGCAGGCTTTTATATTATGTGAGTTTAGCATGTATTATGAATTCTGTTCATAGTACATAAAAATGTACAAACCATATTACTGAACTGCAAAAGCTCCACTGCTGATACATCAAAGAAAGCAGCAGCTGTCATCCAGTTTTAGCCACGGTGCTTTTGAATGCCTTAATCCTCTTCCCAAACAGAAGGAGGCAGAGAGAGTGCACTTTCTTTATCCACCTCCCCCCTTCTATTTTTTTGAACTGTTGGTAGCAAAATCCAGAAGCTATGTTAACAGCCATCACTGCATGGCACCAGACATAATTTTCTTTGCATCTAATTTGGACATTTCAGTCTTCCTTATGTATGCTAAGCTATTTCAAATATATATTTTGTCGAAGTTAGAAATTACTCACATTGTGCTTACTCCCAGGTGCTGAAAATATCAAAGTGATTATTCAGTTGTACTTCATTTTAATTTTGGTGTCCTTCAAACTGGAATTAACTTGGTATTCTTCTTTTGGTTGCTGAGGGGGTTTGTATATTGGGATTGTACTCGTATACATCTGAGTACACATCTGCCAGTAGAATAGATTTTATTTTGTGAAACTTTCACATTTTCAGATTATTTTTATAACAACGCAAGTTTTACAAGACAGTGATTACAAAATAGCTTCCGTAAAAAGTGAGCCAGATATACTGCAAACATGTTTGATCTGTTACAGCTGTTTTTAAGGTCTGTATGGTGCAGTGTCCTGTCTCCAAAGTGGGTCATGGCAGAAGTCTGGGGAAGGGTATGAGAGCTGAGCAAGAATGCAGTGATGCTTCCCTGGTATACTTTGCTGTCTCACTAGCATTTCCCAAGTCAGAAGCTGTTCTTTGAGCTGAAAAAATCCCTTGCTAAACTGCAGCCTCTCAGACCAAAAATACTTTGCTTGCTGAAATAAGTAAGCTGCTAGTGTAAAATTTAATATTTAAAGAATCCATTTGTGTTGTCCTATTTACCCCAAAAGAATTTCAGAATCTGCAGTAAAAAGCATGTTGACCAGGATAGTACTGAAAGCCAGATGAGAGAAAAAGGCATTTGATGACAAGGTTTGGTATGTTTAGAAATGCTTCTGTTATTAAAGTTGCTCCCTACTAGTAGTGCCAACTACTCCTACATAGGAGTCTGCTAATTTGTGTGACATGCTAGCCATCACAACACACAAGGAAGATCAGAGTTTGCATGCAATTACTCCAGTCCTACTTCCGTTGTCAGACAAGGATCTCCCAGCAGTGACATTACCTTCTTGTGGCTTACTGTTGCAATCCCATTTTCCCTTCCCTCTTCATTAATACCAATTTTCAAACTTCTCAGTTTGAAATGCCATCTCTTTACATCTTTAAAATTCTAGAAGCTTCAATATTGCTCATAAGGAAAATAATTAATGCTAAGAGAGAAATTGTGCATTTAGCATTTTGGGATATTCCTGACAATTTTTTGCTAGCTTACTATGAGTAAGAGGTCATTGGTTGGCTTTGCTCTTAACGGAGCACAAATAAGGAGCCTTGATTCAATTAAAAATTGAGGTACTACCTCATTACTATGGAATACAGTTGTTGGTAGTTTCAGTAGAATATGCATGTCTCCGCCAGTTGTGCAACAGGCAAAAGAGTTCTTGTGGCTGATGTCCCAGTGCTCAGCGAGTTAATATTGGGATGGCCACAGCTGTGTCCAGACACCTCTCAGGTCAGTGAAGAGATGCAGAAACTGAAGGGCAGTTTCCAAGTGTCATTAAGTTGTGGGAAGAGGGAGGGGTCTCGTGTTATTCTTTCTTTTAATTTCTTCCCACCTACCCCACAAAAAAAAGATATTATGCATGCAATATAGTCCTACAAAGTTTAGAGTAATGTTACTTTGAGGTTTGTCATATTAGAAGAAAAAAGGGAAAATAGTCTAAAAAGGTCCTGCTTTGTTTTTAAATTATGACTTTTTGTTTCAAACATTAAAAAAAGAAGGTGGTAGGTATGTGGTATGACCTGCTCTTGCATGGTCTGTGCTATATTACTGAAGTGCTGCTGTAGGTATTAGAGTAATTTTATTAGGTAATTTTTTTCTTTGATTTTGATGTTTATTGCCCTCTCAGTTGCTGAGTTTAATATGCAAACACCAGAATAGTGTGTTCATAGACTGACCTATTTGTCCATGTAAATGGTACTAATAAATATTTCTTTTTTTTTTTTCTTTTATAGGTTATTGAATCACTGGGGATTATTATATATAAAGCCCTTGACTATGGTTTGAAGGACAATGAAGAGCGGGAATTAAGTCCTCCACTGGAGCAGCTTATTGACTACATGACTAATACTACAGAAACAGATGGGAGTAGGGATGAAGGATATGATGCTCTGGATGAAGGAGTGGAGGATGACAATGAGGACGACAAAGAGGAAATTGAGGCCATTCATTCCTATAAAGATGTCATGAAGGTACAGTAATGGGCAGTTTAATGATAGTTCACTGGTTTTGTCAATAAGAAAAAACAAGTCTGTATTCCATGTTATTGTCCAGTGTGATACTGGCTGCATCATTTTCTGATTTTCCTGGTCCCTCTGTAAGGTTTGCTTGTGGATATGAGATGCAGTAGTACTTCATGTCTGACAGTAAGCCACAGAAAATCCATTATGAACTTTAGCATTGGATGTGCCATTAATATCACAGTCTGATTTCATCTCTGCACTGGATAGTCAGCCTTCCAGTGTAAACACCTGTTGAGTTTCTTTCTGTACACTTGGATACTTCATAGTATGTTTCAATTAATACACCTTTTCATTAGCACATAATTAGTTTAATCATTTCTTATCAGTTTCTTCCCTTGCCACCCTCCCCTGCAGAAGCAGAGGAGTACTTTTATAAGCATAGCCTATTTATATGGAGTGAGTCAGGGCACATTATTTCATTGGTAATCATTATGGTTGTAGTTCTTTACCTGAGTTGTGAGATTTGGAAATATAGCTTATGAATTTTAATTGCAACAGGTTCTTTAATGTTATCTGGTCTACCGTGTATAATCATTTAAAAATATTAGCCATCTGTTTTCTACAGAGTAGTCTTCTGTGCAAGTTTTAGAGCCCAATGAGCTCTTAGTATGGACAAAGTTATTAGTAAGCAGGGATTTTGAAAAAAAATTGTATAACTGGTTTACCTTATAGACAATCTGAGAATTGAATACAGGAAAATGTTATGCTAACTTGTACCAAGGGATTGAACCCTTTATAGTGCTTCTTCATGAATGCTAGTCATATCTAAGAACGAGAAGCTTAGTGTGTGCCACAGAAATTAAGAGTGTAGTGGTGGAAGCTGAAACTAGAAGAATGTCCCAGATAGTCCATGAGGATGCATAAGCACACTGAAACAATACCCCATTAAAACCCTCCTGTTCTGATGGGTTGACAGTAAAGAGTGGAGCTCTTAGGAGACTAGAGAAGGAGTAACTTTTGTTTAGATGCTTTTGCATCCTCCTTGCATCAGAAATTATGCTAAACACTCTATGCCTTTGTTTTTCTCCCTCCTTCAGAGAAGCAGAGGTTGGAGGGAGAAATTAATAAAATGGCCTTTCACTCCCCTGTGATGGGGAGGACCTGGCTGGCTGAAGTGCTCTCCCCTTCAAGCCCCTGCCACTCCCAGCCTTGCTGAGTCTGTGCCCTTGCTGCACGCAGGTGGTTTGCTCTCTCCTCCCCCTGCCACTCCCTGTCACCCAGTCACCTTCTCTAGAAGGGGCCAGCAGCACCCTGCTAAACCCCATGCAAACTGCTCCAGACAGTGTAGAAGAAATGAAGATTGATGGAATACATCCTCTTCTAGCCCAGTTTGGTAAAATGCTGTGGGTTGGTGTGACAATCAAAGTTGGATTGTTAAGAGGAAGTTTCATTCAGTGCAGAGGCAGATGAGACCTTTGTACATGCAGAGCTGAGAGCAGTGGCTTTGTGGAAGTGATTATTTTGCAAGTTCTTTGTTGATTTCTGCAAACAAGAAAAGATAAGTTTGAAAAACTTCACTGAGCTCCTTTAGGTACACTGGTACACATCCCTGAAATACAAACATGATAAAAAAATCTTAGGTAAGGTTTCAACTGTTAAGGTCATCAAATGGCATCCTTTTCATTTGGCTTTGTGAATTTCTCTGCTAGTCCGAGGTACCTGCCTGTTTGTATGTTTTAAAATCAGCATCTTACATTTTTTCATCATGTTTTGCTAAGGATTTTTTGTCATTCTGGACATGTACTGCTTTTGTGACTTCTTCTTAATGAACTGAAGTTCAACTGTCATTTTTACGTCATCCTAACTTTTACTCCTCCATCCTTTGGAATGAATTCTCTTTTCTTGCTGTTGTTGCTTGTGCCTAAATTATGTGCTGCAGGCATAACTGTGTAAATTGCTTTTATTCCCTACTCTGTGTCGCTACTGCATTGACAGCACTAGAATAGCAGCATCGTTCTGCCTCATTTTCGACATGAGTGTGGATTTGCAAGATCCTTTTTGCTTGCATTCATATCTTTTTAGGGGAAAGACCATCTTTTGCATGTGGCTTTTTCTTTTCCCCCAGCTGTGTTAAAATGTTACAAGATACACCCTTATTTACCCAGTGACTGTTTCACAGCAGTAGTGTGTGGTCTTGTGACCATGAGGCTCAATTATTGTAATTCCTTCTTGGCAAGACTCACTGTGAAGCTTTTTCCTCCTCAGTTTGTAGTGAATGCTGAAGCAGGTTTGCTCATTGAATTGAGCAACCGTTGTTCTTGCCTACTCTGCATTCTCTAAATTACAAGCCTGGAAAATTGTAGAGATGGACTGTGTGCTACTAATACTGATTTTTAAGGTTTTAAACTATGTAGTCTCCAGTCTGGACATGATTTTGTCCTTGAAATGTGATTATATGGTTCTTGCTTCTGCAGAAAGTGTTATTGTCTGGTCCAAGGCCTGCCTGCCACTAAGACTGAATTTTTCACCATTAATCACTAACGTGGGTGAGACTATTTTGTGATTAAAACAGAGATAGGTAAGATTTGTGTCAGGTTTTTCTGTGCTGTGAAGTAGACATAGTCATTCCTGAATCGTCTCCTGACCTGGAAAATGCTGAGCAATGTGGTGGACACCTATTCCCGAGAACTGGGAAAAGGGTAAGTGCTAAATGGTACTGCCAAGATCATCACTGGAAAAACTCCTATTTGGAGAAGAACAGACAAGCTTTTGTGCTGCTTCTTGGTATATTTGGCTGATTTAGCTTTTGGTTTTCTTGGCAGGACCAACCTGCTGCCCAGACCTGACCTCCTGTTTTTAAAAATACATCTATGAAGAGAGGAGACATTGGCTGCCAGACGCTTTTAGTCTTTGATGTATTTCTGATATGACAGCCCTACTGCAAGTGAAGGGAGAAATGGAGACAGTAAAGATGGGACGTTTTCAGATAGATGCTTTTCTTTGTTTGTTTCCTCTTCCCTGCCCGATCTCCTGTGTGTACACATCGTACAGGAAATCTGTACATCTTGGGAGTGCCAGTGCATGTACATAGTGACACAAGTGTACATATACAGTAATCCTGAGGGATCAGGAATGCATCATGTTGACAGCACATGTGCATGTGCAGCTTGGGAAGCCTTGGTCAACAGAGGATATAGACAGAGAAGGCCTGGCATGCTGGGCAGTGTTGGGCTTGCTAAGGGTGTGTGAAGTCCTGTCATGTGGCACCTTTATCGTGGCGTGGGGCCCTCCCTGATACTGAAACAAGATGATGCAGTTTATCAATCTCTTCCAGGGTATGCTCAAACCCTAATTCCACTCCTAATCTTAATGTTATCTCACTCCTTATCCTACAGATCTCTGCAGTCAGATGTTTTAAGCCAACACCACTTTTCATATTAACCTGGAGGCACTTTCTACGCTGCAGTTTATCAATACTTGCTGGCCTGAGTCCCAACCCTAAACCCAGATCCAGTATTATACTTTGTTCTAGGTCAACACCCTCTTCTAATTCTAGATGTAAGTGTAGCCCCATAATGCTTTGATAGCTGGTTTTATTATGTGCTGATGGTTTCTGGGCTGAACTACCATCTTAGCCCTAGCCCTGTCATTTCTTCCAGCTTTGAACATCATTGTAGCCAAATCGCTACTGCCAGTATTAACTAGACTTCACCTCAGCTCTTCTGCAGAGCAAAGGTGTTGTGGAGGCATTGTCAGAAGTACCTGCAAGTCATGACACTAATTTTCGTCATTGCCTCTGCTACCTTCTTCTGCAGGTCTCATAGAAGGTTAATAAGGAGGCAGTGGTCTTCATGAACCAGTATCTTGCTCTTACTTATGTTCACTTTTTGTCCTGAAAGTTAACTCAACTTTAACAGGAATCTGATCTGTAGCCAAGCCACACCTTCTTGTCTAAGATACAAATACAGGTGGATGGTCTCTGGTGCTCGGTGGCCTCAGGTCCCAGGTCTTACCTAACTAATCACTTTTAGGTAGTTCAATAATAATGTTTGTTGATTCTGACCTAAAATTAACTGTCATGCAACTGCTGCTTCACAAAGACTGAAGAATGGCCCAGGTCCCATTGTAAACAAAACTCTTACCTAGGAAATCTCCATGACTTGGAGAAAATAATTGGCATGAAAATTATTTTCAGAGCAGCATGTTCAGTATTGTGTTATCTCACTATTAGAAATGTAAACAAGGTTACAGTTTGCAATACTTTTATTGGTAGAAAATGATGTTTGTGCTTTGCAGAGAGGAAGAATAAATTGTTTCTGTCAACCCCACCCCCTATTTCAGACATTTTAATCATTGGCATGGTCATGAGATAAAAAACTTGCAAATCTAGGTGACTCATGTGTCTTGGTAGTTCAAGTGTATGACTGACTCCTTTCAGCTGGAAAGAACTGAGATTTACAGTGGTGGTATTGATCTGCTTCTGTTTTGTTTTGAGTACTGTGGTGGTAGTACAGAACAACCATCTATGGTATGTGTAGAGTTTTAGAGGAAAAGTATGTCCTGTCTTAATGCAACTATGGGCAGGATAAGCAGATCTACATTTAGATCTAAGTGTTTTGGAGACTCCCTTCTGAGTTTGAGGACATGCATTATTATCATACAGATGGTATGACTCCATGTAAGTATAATATGGGAACCTGTCAAAGAGGAACCAGAAAATGCAGTTAAAAACAAGTCAGGGTATTTGTTTATAGGAGACGGTTAAAGAGTTCATGTTACTGGAATTCAAAGGCTTATAATTTTTCCTAGTCCATGAGGTTAAGTTTAGTAAGGTGCAGCTTTCTGTGAGTGTAATTCTGTTTAAGGCTGGATGGGCTTTAGCATTTTTGTATGAGCCTGCAGAACAGCATTTATGCTTCATTTCAGAACAAACAACTTACACTGTATGCTGTAACTCTGTGTGAAGCCAGTGAAGATTTGGGAACTTGCTGAGATGGTAACTAATGCCC